ATACGCCTTAATTGGATTGTTTAAAGTTGCAACCTTATGGAAACCACACCCATATATTATAAAGGGTGTAGTTGGCGTACGGATGCATCCGTACCTGTAGAGCTAAGGTGCACCTTCAAATTTTATCATGGTATATAATTTTGATGTAAAATGTCTTACGATTATATCAAAATCTATTTTTATATCTAATTATAAAATTTTAAATTTCAAAAATGGTTAAAATCAAGTAGATCTATAAACATATGAAAATCATAAAAATGGACGGTGTACATAATATTTAGTAAAATACACTATTTTTTAGACTTAGAATCTTTTTATTGTTCATGGTCATACACCTCGATGTCGAGATGATCAATCAAAGGGTTTTTCAACATTACAACTACCTTTTCCGATGGATTTTTTAGGTGTATCCGTAGTTCTACATTATAAGGTTGCATCCTTATATAAACCTTTTCCTATTATAAAATATGAGTAATGATCCTATGAGATCCTCTCGCACCCATGTGTATAGGACCCCAAATGATCACCATTAAATTTGGGACAGATCTTTAGAAAAGTCAAATCCCACACCCATGTGATAATTTTTATAGAGATATGTGTCAAATTTAATGGTGATCCTTTGGGGTCTTACACACATGGGTGTGGGAGGGTTTCATAGGATCATTACTCATAAAATATATAAAGTAATTTTTTATGTATTTTTTGTTCATTGACCCGAATTAGGTCCAGGTCTGATCGATTTGAACTCAAACCTAGGTCTTGTACATGTTCAGATCTAACTTAGACGTAGTTGGGTCAAGTCCCCATTACCACCCACACAAAGTGAGGGGAGATCGTGCGAGAGCATGTAGTGTATTTTCTTCTTTGAGAATAACTCAATCTAAGAGTACGTTATTAAACCCTAAATTATGGGATGCAACCGCTTCAACCAATAGACAGATCTCATTAAAACAACAATTTTTAGATTGTACTATTTATGCATTTTCTTTTTGGGTAGATGAGTATTAATTTTCTAGATTGTACTGTTGATGTTTTGTTTTGGGAAGATCATAATTAATTTTCTAGATTGTACTATTCATGTTTTTTTTTTGTAAATCAGTGGAGAATATAGGACCCTACCCATTTGAGAAATCGTTAGTGGTTTTCAAATGCGTCAATGGGAAGTGGGAATGTAGCTAAGTCCTACGTGGTGCTACCACCATGACCTCAACCCCATTCTCAATACTATTTATGCATTTGAAAGATTAATGCTTTAATATTGAATAGCTAATATTCAATTTTTGGATTCAAATTTATTCTTTTGAAAATAATCACCTAGTGATTGGTTATCAAAATTTTACATTGAAAAAATATCCTATGTGGATGATTACACCTTATGTGGATGTCACATCTTACGTGGATGATGTGACACTCCTAATCACCAAAAATACCCTTATTAAAAAAATGCTCAAAAATCTTATTGAAGAAAAGTATTTTGGTATTGGAGAACTCGATCTTAAGATGTATTGACAAGAATTATAATCAATCGAAAGAGGTTGTGCCATTGAATGCATTCAAAGTACAAGAAAGGTTTTCTCGAACTTTTGAGTAGAGTAATGTTATCACATTATCTTCTCTTCCCTCGAAGTGGTTGAAATCTTTGGCTTCAGGCTCCAAATCAAAGTGAAGCAGATCGGTTCTCCATTTTTTTTGAATAAGTGCACATATTTCATTTCATTAAGGTAATGAAAATTACACTGGAGAGAAAAAGGAAAGAGAAAAAACAGAAAGAGAAAATCGCTTACCAATTAAAATGAAGGGAAACTTACAAAATACACCCTAAAATGGACTATCTACGCAACTTAGCCCCACCCTAATTTTTTTCCACACTTTTTTTCCCCAAAGAACCTTTCCTCGCAAAAACCCTCCAACCCAAAAGTAAGATAAAATAAGATTAAAATACCCTCGTTTCTTTTCACACGTCCTTCTCTCTCCTGTTTCTTTTCACACGGCCTTCGGCTCCGACAATGGAGGACTGCGCTCCGGCAGTCCTAATGCGAACTCCGGTAGTGCTTTGTCTTACCCGCATCGCTCCGGCATACTGAGAATTGTGCTCCGGTAGTGATACTGCATGCTTCGGCAGTCCGCTCCGGCAATCTGAGAATGCACTCCGGCACTGAAAATACACACTGGGTCGATCTAGTGGTCACAATTGTATTTTGTATTTTAATTTTAATTTTTTTTCTACAAATCTGAATCACTTAAAATTTAGAGCGTCTATTCTTTAAAAATAATAGAATCTAATAAAAATATAAAAAACATAATTCATAAAAAATAAATTGACCAAAACACTTCAGAAACTTTCAAGAGTATTTTGGTTAACCCTCCAATGAACAGTAATTTCGCCTACCTTCATCACCGTCCAAAGTCATCACATGGTCACGATTGTCCGGTAGTGATTTCATTTTTCATTTTTTCATTTTTTTTATCAAAAAAATATTTTACATGAAACAAATTTACCAAAGTACCCCCAAAAACATTTCGGGGGTATTTTGATCAATTTGTTTTTATGAATTATTATTTTTATATATTTTCATTAAGTGCGCCTCACTAAGATGTACACATGCTCCAAATTTCAGGTCATTTCGATTTGTAGAAAAAAAAATAAAAAATAAAACACTACTAGACAA